GTGTGTGCGTGTGTGTGTGTGTAATGTTCTGAGGAACAACGTATTTGTTTTTGGTTTCTATTTAAAGCATTAATGAATAACAGCTTAACATTCTTTTTTATGTTTTGAGGATGACGTCACATGACATGATAATAGTTAGTTTGTGTTATGCAGCCGCTCTTTTTTTTTTTTACCTCTGTCAAGGGTGTTTTCTTTCTGTCCGTTTGTTTTTTTGTCAGCAGGATTACGCATAAACAACTAAAATGATTTCCACAAAACTTGGTGGAAAGATGGAACAACGGCCAAGAAAGAAAACATTACGTTTTGGCAGAGATCTGGAAAAGGGGCCGAACAAGGATTTTCCCAGTTTTGTCAGGGAATCTTGATGAAAAAAATTAGACCTAGTGTATTTAAGGGACTGAGTGTGTGTAATGTGGTGAGGCATTATTGAATTTAGGGAGACTGTTGGGAGGCATACGCTCGACTGGGTGGTATTCTAGTGTCATTTGTTCCATTTCTGGTTTTGTCTTTTAACTTTAACCTGGTTACTGAAGTAAATGTAAATACAAGTGAAACGATTCTGCACTTTTTGGTTCACACAACTTTCTACTTTTGACTAAAACACAATCTGCAGAGTTATATTATCATATCTGGGATTATTTAAAACAAAGGTCACTAAACCTGCAGATTTTTTGTTTACATGCTCTGGAAGCATAAATATGAATTAAAATATCACAGTATGCTATTTAATAATATATCTTAATGATATGATTTATGTAAAACCAGAGGTGTCTCTGCTGTGACTGTATTTTGGATGATGAAATATTGTATGATCACACAGTTAAAACAGCCGTGTGGATAAACTCTCATTATTTCATGTTGTCATAAAACAGAACATTATAAAACAGTCACCATTAATATTATAAGTGACTTAGCTGATTCCAGAGCTGTGCAGGAAGCTGAATCAGTTAGTGTTGTTACGCAAAGAGTGGCTAGTGTTTGTCAGTCTTTGTTGTTTATCCAGCTCTGTTAGTCCTTCACACTGTACGAGTATAAAACTATTCAAATATTTGCTTAAATGTAGGTGGAAGGTGATCACAAGCAGCAGACGTCAAGTTACACAACGCAAGGCGACAGGAAGTTAAAGCCAAAAAAAGGGTGTGCTTGTTGCTGACATGCTTATGGTGGATTTGGTATCATAAGATGTGATGGAGAGGTGTCTTACGCTAAACTCAGAGTTTATTTACTTTAGCCTGGATGACAAACTGTAAAATAATCAGAAAGACTTTTGACCAAATGCGTATAACTGTGTTTTGCAGTAAGTGAGAAAACGCATGCAGGTGAGACCCAGCGTCCCGGCTGACCTGACGTTGTCATGTTTCTGGATATAGATCTTATGAAACATCATGTCTTCCTTCTTGGCATTGATGTCAGCCTTCATCTCCATGGCAACATGCCTTGGCAACACTGACAGCAACAGACGTTCCTGGAAAACACACAGAAAAGAAACAAAATGCAGATTGTGTCCGTCACAATATTGTCCGTGTGTGTGTGTGTGTGTGT